ATATATATACACACACACACACACACACACAGGGATTAACTTTGAGCTAGTTAAAAAAGAGAGAAAAAACTGGCTCACTGTTGAGAGTACCTATTCACTTTGTAGAAAGACGGGCGACTTTTATGAGTAAAGTGTTGCGAAACATTTGACAGATTTTTTGAATGATGTGCTGCGCCTACAATAAAAATGAAAACAAATCAGTTCCTAGAATTCAAAAAGTGCTTTGAACAGCATTTAATCCTGTACAGAGTACAAGAACAAAGTTAAACCTGTACATACATGAACAAAGTCTGACTCATATGAGAGAATAACAGGGGTGATTGCACAGTTGTCAAAAATATAATAGTGAACTGTGACCTACAAACGCGTTAAAATGAAAACGCCATTGCATGATGATAAAAGCCAAATGGTGCACACAAGCAGTCATTTAAAGCAAATCATTGCATTTGTAAACTCCACCGCTGAAAAAAAAAATTAGGAAGATAGTGCAATTTGTAATTTGATCAGTAATGTGTTTTATTACATATCAGAAGTGGTGCCAAAAGAACGACACGAGGTATTGGTATGGCTTAACACTTAGACAATAAACTATATTTTTCTGTTCATAAAGCTCTAAAGAAAATATATTAATTGTATTTTAGCACACTTTTCACAAAACTATTTAAGCAATCTCGTAAAATATACAAACCTTCTGTCAAAGTTACAAAACCACTCCAGACAGACACATGGAACAAAGGACAAAAACCTACTGTCACCTGCAATCTGCTAAAGATTGAATAGCTTGCATGTTTGTTAAGAACACATCTGCATGTTGGACTAGTCTGTTACATTCCCACATTCTTTGGCCCTCCTTCATTGGTCTGACAAAGCATTCACAACATTTAACTTCTGACCCCCCCTCCGCTCTCTTCATCAGTCATCCAGTTCAAGACCAAAGTGTGAGTAGAGATCTCGTGTGGTGGTCCCCCTCAGAGCAGCTGGAAGACAGAGACACATTGCAGGGTCAACTCCCTCTGGTCGACTTTTCAAACAATCCCTGAAACACTGAACAGACCAAGATCACAGTGTGAAGGAACGAGATCACTTTAAACATGGAGCTTCTAATTGGTAGARAAAAAAAAGKTTTAACAAAGYTAACGTGTTACTACCACAGGTTTAGTTATTTAAATTTTGCTTTGCAATATTTAAAATCAGTTTATTTTTAGACAACAGGCTTCAAAATAGAGTTCCCCTGGAAAACTATGGATTTCTTTTTAGTTGTTTTATCACACTGGATATTTTGTTTTCAAAATGACTGCATCTCAACGTACACTAAACCACAAACTAGGGCTGCCACAAACTATTTTTATTATCGATTAATCACCGATTATTTTTTCGATTAGTCGACTAATCGGATCATACATTAATT